ATTAAGGCTTTCCTCCAACATCAGGAAGATACAAGGCATTATTCAAGTGTCAGACATGGCAAAAAAAAAAAAAAATCCCTCACTTAGCTTCTTTTCAGGTTCTGTCTTCTGACAAAAAAATTAGTTGCTGAGGAATGTCAAGATGCCTGGTCTAGATGTGGCACCTTTCTGAGGTTTCTATCCCACGTGTCGTCTGTTGATGAGACATGACTGGATACAGAGCTTATTGTCATGTAGTCACGCATTTGTTCTTGCTGCTATATGTGGTAGTCAGAAGGTGTCCAGGAGATACATGTGCGTTGAGAAGATTTGTCCCTGCATCTCTCTCTCTCTTCTTCTTGTCCAAGTGTTTGGCTTTCTTTCTGCTGCAGATGCTGGGAAAAAAAAAAAAAAAAAAAAAATGGAGCGGGAGAGAAAATTCATTACTCCTCCAGTTCACTGGCCAGACCATTTGGACCATTTCCTTTGTGATATCTGTGACGATTTTTCAATTATTAGTACTTTTTTCATCCTAACCCATTTAATGGCTCTTCCCCCCACCTCCCCACGCCAAGTTTCCAGCCATGAAGTTCCCCGTAGATTTTAGCTTTTCCTTTGGAACACACCCATGAATTTCCAAAAACACCTGCCAAATTTGAATTTTCAGTCCACTAGAACATGGCCACAGAGAAATTATTCAGCCAGCATATGAGTGTATTCATGACTTGTCCCTCTGTCGTGTGAATGGGGGATACCCCTACATTCACTGAATCCAGCATCATTTCAGGATGTGATTCCACAGCGTCCCTTTCAGTGATTCCATTTACACTTCTGCTTGTTTTCCCCCTTTACTTGTGAGATGTTAATGTCTTAGAAGTTAGATGTTGGCTATTCTAGCACCCCTGGAGACACTATAAATGTCAATACAGAATTATGTGGCTTCTAAGAGATCCTACTCAAGCTTGTGTAGTCTTTACATTATTGATGTTATCACAACGAAGCACATAAATAAATTATTGTCTACTGGTTTACCTCCATTATATCCCTTCAGAGTTGCTTCAAAATATGTCTTGATTTCTATTTTGGGATTAGGAAGCTATGACAAAGAGGTCAAAAGAAGGTATGGAAACATCCAAGCCACCAGTCGCCCTAATGTAAAAGGCACAAAAGAAAGGTATTTATATTAGTGAAGTCTACAGTTAGGTATTTTGCATGTTGAAACACATTCCCAGGATGTTTTCTTGTTGTAGGAATGCTGGAAAAGCCAAACAGAGATGCTTAGTTTGGGTTTTAGTTTCCTTGAATTGGACCAGGTTTTATCGGCCTATGATAACTCTCCATCAAATTACAAGAAGGGTTGGTCCAAGTTCAAGGTCACTGAAGCTAAAAGCAGTAACTCTGTTTGACTCCCTGTGTACAGGGGAAGACACTTTGAGGATGTTGCCAGCAGTGATGCTTTAATTTTACAAAGATGCATCTTTGTGTTATACTCTGGTGCTGCATCACTTCAGCAGGCGGTCATGGGAGCAGGCATCTCCATTAATGTCCTCTTCTGTTCAGTCTGCAATAGATGCCTGGCTATCGGATTTTACAGATGGGGAAGATGCTGGCAGATATTACAGTTCAGCCTCTTTAACCCAGAAGAAGAAGGAAGAGAGGAACACATCACAGAGCAAACTGCTGACGTGAAGAAATTCTACACTCGACGTTTGTAGAAGACCTGGTCAATGCGAGCTGCATGCCCTCTTCCCACCCATCATTTAAATCACTCAAAATGAATGATCTTAAGGCATGTGGCACCTCACGTGCACACAGTAGCCCCCAGATTTCCACCCTCTTTAATGCCCCACACCTCCTGCACAGTGCAAGCCACCAGCCAGTGCCTCACGGATCAGAGAGCAGACGCTGCTGGCTCTCAAGGTCTCAGGGGAGGACAGAGGCCACGGCCCTGGGCTCACACAAGGCTTTGCTGCATGGAGTTTGGGAGGGGAAGGATCCAGCTGTGTGAATGCACTGCTGAGAGAGTGGCACTTGGCAAGCTGGGCTGTGCTAACGCTTAGACAAAGGGTAGTGACCTGGAAGTGCTTCTCGGATAGCCAGATGTCCGGCAGTGAGGCAATGAAAACTGGATTCTCCTGAAAAAATGCATTATAAGCTTGGTTTATTGCAGTGATATGCAGGAGTCAAACAAAACAGGGAACCCTGACTGCACTCAGCACTGTACGAGCACAGGTTAACAGCGATCCTCTGCCCTGATGAGGCTGTACTCTGTACAGAGAGGGCAGGCACAGCATGGGAAATGTCAGATATCAGGGGTACAGAGGAAAAGAAGGGATGACTAGAAAGACAGAGCTTGTAGCAGACATAAATGGAGAAAAAAGAGAATAAGAACAAGTAACAGGAACAAAAACAAGAGAAGAGGGGGGAGACTTACTATGCTCCTCTCTCTCCCCTATTTTCTACATCACATCTTGCTCCCCTTGTGGTTTCTTCACAAGAAAAAGGGGCATGAAGATAGGTAGGTAGAGAAGGGAGGAGAAAAAAAAATTGAACAGAGGAAAGCAAATGCCTAAAAAAAAGGTTTTAAAACAAAAGTTTGTTTGTTTGTTTGTTTGTTTGTTTGTTTGTTTAAAAAAAAGGCATTTGGCAAGCAGTCATCAGGGCTGGGAGGTGAATTCCCACACTCAGCAGACAGTCAGTGCGTGGCTGACCCACCCTGGAAAAATGTGTTTGTCACAGCCCATGTGCAGGTGAGCCTGTTGCATTTTCAAAGCCTACAGAGAATTCAGATATGGATCTCCAGCAGTGAATTACTTGGTAACAGAGAGGGGGAAAAATCAGTTGTTCAAACCCCGGGCTGGCTCAAAAAGCCAGTATCTGTCACTGGAGTTGCCAATAGCACCAGGGGAGGAGCCTTCAGCCAGAACTACGGGGCACAGAGGCAAACCTCCAAGTGGGTCCTGATGTTTTTTTCACAGCCAGTTCTGTTGGATTCAGTGAGGTACCTTCCTTCACAGCAACGATTCACTGACTTCTCTCTCTGCACCCAGCTGCCTTCCCTGCCCCTGAGGCCGTACCTCAGCAGGTCCCTCTGGCCTCTCCATCTGGGTGCTTCATCGGTGGATTGTCACAGCCCAGTCTGATCTGCTCCTTTCCCTTCAGCCCGCCCTGAAGGGCAGGCATGGTGCTCCTGTCTGCTCGCTGGATGGTCAGTGTCACCCAGTTCTCTGGCTTGCCAGTTACTTGGAAGAACAGCAAGTTTTGGAAACACCAAAATATTTGAATTTGGGGTCAGTTTGTTTTCACCATGCACTGGACTCAGCCAGAGTGCACATGCCATGATGCAGCACAGCCACTAGCAGGTGTCGATGGGCAGCACAAATTCAGGAGGAAATATGAGATTCACGGTTTTCACATTTTATTTTCTCTGAGTGTCGGAAATATGGAAATTTTCAGGAAAAAAAATCTTTATGCTGAAACACATACTTGCATCTTTAAACCACTTTTAAGAATAATTCACATCTACCTTCAGCTTCAAATGCTTCATAGCCATGCCTTGTTGCCTATCCTTACTTACAACCACGTTTATTTTGCTGTTGGTTTTGAGGGGCAGGATGGCTCACAGCCACCAAAACACTGCCGTGGTGTGATTCTTTTCTTCCCTCGGCTCCCTGCCGAGGAGTGGCTCAGCTTGGGGTTCCCTCAGTCAGCAGCAGGATCCACAGACTCCAGTAAGCTCTGGGGTGAGGGATGTCAGCCACCCTCCAAGGCTGACTTTTCATCTCTCAAAATTTGCCATGGGCAACTTTGTACGCTTCAAATATCATCTCCTTTCAGACAGCTCATTCCTAAGTCTCTTTCATCCATGCAGATGTCTTATTTTCTAACCATGTTTTAGAAACTTGAGTAGCAAGGAAGGAGATTTCTCACCCTGGGCTTCAGCATTGCCTCTGTGTTCTGCTTTTTGCTTTTATGGCTTTCCTTTCCTCTCCCCTCCACACCTCAACAACGTAACTGCCTGGAGATCAGCAGCATTTCTGCTTCGATCAAAGCTTTCATCCGGCCACGCGGATGTGTTCATGCTGTACGGAGCTCACATAAAGGAGAATCCCTGTCCCAGCTGCTTTCTGTGAGGCTGGATGGCACCAGGAAACCTGCGGTGCCCTTCACCCCTCCGCAGATAAGCAGGACACAGTTTCTCAGGCTTTTTTTCCTACAGATACTCACCAGACATTCCTGCTGCTACGACATACATACTGAGAGTCTGAACAGTGAACATGCATTCATCTTTACAGGATCAAGATCTGCATTTTTGTTTTTAAACTTCTATTAATAAGAGTAACTTATTAGCGCTGCCCCAGTGCCCCTAGCCTGTCTGATACACCTGTGGCAGCACCTGGTGTTTGTCCTTGATTCGACTGCTCTGCCTCCACACTAGCAAGATGCTGGCTCAGGAATCACTGCACGCACACACATCCCAAAATCATAGGAAAATAGGTGCTGTGAACTGGCCTGTCTGTCAGGAAAGAATTTAGCACACCTAGTTGCTCCTGTCAGAGGTCTAAATAAATCTGTTTTTCTTAGATTTATTGACACAGAATGCTTTCAGGTAGTTCTCTCACACGATGCTCTTCGGATTTCAAGGCTCAGGTGTTTTCTGGTAGAGGTGTGCATCCACTTCTCCTGCTGCAGAATTGCAATAAAGCGAAATTGTTTCATCTCTGTGTATCCCAGCAGACTCACTCAGGTGAGCACCACACAGCAGTCCAAGCAGCTGCTTTTGGATGAGGGTTTTTTGAAGCAGCACGTGGAGGGACGGATGGGTTCCCCCCCACACACACTCCACAGACACGGCTGCCCTGCGTCTCCCCTTCCCTCCCTCGCCTGCACTCTCACACATTCCCCCAGAGGCAAGGGTGCGGGTGACTGGAGATGTGAAAGTCACCTGATAGGATGCTCCGGCTCCCCTCTCTGCACAGCAAAAGCTCTCCTGCCTGCTGATAGTAGGAGCAACTCTGCCAGGCTTTGCTCTGCTTACCAGACTGCAGAGTCTGCTGCAAACGCAAAACTGAAATCCATCATTGCACCACGTACTTAACATCCAAGGGGCTCCTGTGTCTTCTTGCTGTCTGTTTCTGGGTTTCTCCAGACCTCTCTCCTCAAAAGCAAGGTCTGCTCTGCTTCCAGCAATGCATCCCGAGAGGTGGCTGTCTCGGTGGTACCCTGCTTTTGGTGTGTGGGCATTCATGGTCACATCCTTGATTAAAGGTAGGCTGTCTCTGATGCTAGTCTTTAAAATATTTTCTAGTCACTGTCTCTTGTTTCTGTTTCCCTGGAATCAATTCAATTTAAAGCTTCTGCCAGTTATTCCTGTCTTGAAACCTGTAACATTTTATATTTTAACAGAGCTAAAGCATCCTTAGTCTTCACGTGTAAAACTCTTCATTTTAGTCTGATAACTAACAGAGAAACTGTTTCTAACAAAGAACAAAAATGAGTTCTTGTATTTTTGCTTGATGCTTGAATTTTGCAATTGCTTAAATAAGGCAAGTTAAATGTTTGCATGTTCTGTATGCACACATTCAATAGCAAAAACTCAATATATTTTGTTCTCTGTTGTTTGTGATCTGTTGCTGAATGTGCTGGGGTGATTTCTATGCACAGATCTCACTGACTTTCAGCAGGATTTCTGCTTTTAAGTCACGACACCTTTTCTGAAAGTCTCACCAGGAGAGAGACCAAGACCTTTGTGAATTACAGTGTTTGCACTAGCAGGGCACAAGGCACTGTCTTAAAGCAACATCACCAGAATGGGGATCTGCTACCAACCTATAAAAATGAAAGGCCTAAATACTTGTCTGTTTCTGGTGTTTTATTTTAAAGCTCATGTCTGCTAAGAAGCCAGTTGGAAAATTTCAAAGGAAACATGATTTTGGGCTCGGTGGCTTTAGTCGTGATATTATGTTCGAAAACTCATTTCCCCATGGTAGGGTACTTCTCGTCACATTGCACTGCATAGCGATGAGGTCTGAAAAGGAAATTGAAATTCCCTTTTTGAAATACACAATGCACAACATAAAAACAACCAAATTTGGCAGACATTCATATATCTTCTCTAGAAGTTGCAAAAAGGATGGAACAAAACATCAAGTCATAGAAGTTTTAGTACAATTTTCTTTCATAAATGAAAGCCATCAATAACAGGCATTTCAGTTTTTAATTGTGATAATCCCCTGAATCTGAGCTTGCTTTGTATTACCTTAGAGGCAGAAATGTCCTTTTCCAAAACAAAGGGAAGAGTGGCCCAAGCATGCACACAGTGCTGTATGTTTAGTCTAAGCACCTTCCCGCAGGACATCCGTTGAGTTACAGGCCCCTGTGTCCTATTTTGGATTGAAGGTGCTAAGTTATAGCAGTGTGTTGAAACAGCAAAATCACTGAAGAAAAGTCGTTTTCTGAGCTGGTGTCGGCAAAACTCACACGATTTAATCTTTCCATTTACAATTAAACCTTTTGTCTTGAGCATTAGGAAAATAGCTATATCAGATTTGGGGTGTAGCAGATTTCATACACCTCCTTCCTGCTAAGCCATCCAGCCTGTCCTGTACTGATTGACATTACAGTTTTAATCTGCTTCTTCCCAAAGAACAGTTCTGTATTACAAAATTCCTGTGTTGTTTTGTTTTGTTTTCTCACAGAACTAAAGAGCTGGACTTCCTTCAGAGCAGAAGGAAGCTTCTGTGTCTTGATACACAGTGGTGTGCACAGGAACCAGAAATAAAGCATGGAGTAGCATGTTATTTAACATCCTTTCCTCATCCTTACCTCTGAAGTACCTGTTCTTTGTCTTTATGAACCCAGATACTGCAGCCTGCGAATCAGAGGAACGCCTATTTCATAAACTCTTCACCCACTACAACCAGTTCATCAGGCCGGTGGAAAACGTGTCTGATCCTGTCACAGTGCATTTCGAGCTGGCCATTACCCAGCTTACAAACGTGGTAAGTCTGACTACAGCAGGCTGCTGAGATTTGGGCAAGGATGCCAAACACACAAAGTGCTAAACAGCAGACATGGTTGTAGTAGCTGCACCTCCCGCTCTGTTAGCTGACGTTATCGGCTGTGCATATGTGTGCATGATGAGACGTTTGCCATTCTGTCAGCCGAGTCACTTCAATTCCTCAAACAAGCTGTTCAAACTGTACAGATTGGCTCCTTCTCTCTGCCATGTCAAATCCCTCTGCTTGAGGCAGCAGCCCCTGGCATCTGCAGCAGCCGTGCCAAATGTTCAGGACCACTGCACAGAGCCAGCCCACTCCAGAGACACCCGGTTGTGTCTGTGCTGTGTAATGAGCAGCCCAGTTCTCCTGTGGGTCTGTGTCTTTTCCTAGTCATCCTGAGAGACAAAATCTTATTTTTTGCATGCTTTTTTTTATTCAGTTTGGTTGGTTCAAAATAACATAAGGGATGAACAAGCTACAGGTTTGGAGCATGGAGCTGGGTATGTGTTGTGTGATCTGGGGTGCACCATATAGCAAGCAAGTCCTGGCCTTGTTTCATCCATGCGTCCTTCTGTGGGGTAAATCATCCAAATGATGAACTCAGAGGCTGAGTTTGAATTCTGGGGGTTCCTGAGTCCATAATGACGTGACAGACAAGCAGTGAGGAGCAGCCAGGGTGACAGAGCTAAGGTATCTTGAGAGTATAAGTGCAGGCATTAAAAGTTGGTGGAGGCAGCTCTCACCTGTGGAAATTCCTTGGTGCAATTATTTTGTTTCAGTGTTACATGTCACTTGACAGGTTTCAAAATAAATAAATGAATAAATGGAAGATCATAAGTAAACCAATTAATTTTTTTTTTCAAGTGTCATGATTTTTTGGTCCTTAGTCTTCTGTGTTCAGAGCTGAAAATTCTCAGCATTTTCTTTACCTTTTGGTTTGTAAATATCTTAGAAGTTTTAATCCTGCAAGTTTAGTTATTAAGAACTACTCAAAGCAGTATTCTCACAGATACTTTCTTTGCAAATGCCACCCTGCATTCATATATTTATGTAATCTGAGTTTTTCAAACTACCTTTAGGCTGAAGACTTCTTAGAACTGGATCCATTTTTTTTTTATATTTGTGCCTCTTGCAGCCCTTTCATTATTCATTGCTGATTGGTGATAGCAGAAAGTGATCATAAACACAAGTTTTCAGTGCAAAAATGGCTGAACTTAGTGCAGGTTTGGTTCATCTGCTCTCCAGCTTGCATAGAAATGCAAGAACTGCACCATAGAGGTCATTTTCCTTGAATTTTGACCAGTACTGTGCTATGTAAACAGCCTTTTGAAAACTGAATCCAATGAAACACATGGACACCAGCACACTCTTTCTCCCCTGACAGTAACAGGGTTAATTGAAAGATTTCTGTCTTCCATTTACTCAGGCCCCAGGCACACTGGTGTATGCCACGCACAAATGTGTGGCATAATTTTTCAGTAAGGCCTTACAAATTATTCAGTAGAGCTGCAGATGTCTGTGTACAATAGGTAATTCCCCTGAAAACTGGCTAGCTCTGCATATTTACCTTTCACAAAGCCCCTAGAAGTAGCCTATGATCCTCCTGAGAGTCACAGGTACCAGTTAATGCAGAATTCTTATTTCCATTTTTATCAGAATAAGTTGTGGCCATCTCAGCATACGGTAAGTGATTTATGAGTGAAGATGTGCATGTCTGTATTTCTTTCTAGGATGAAGTCAATCAGATTATGGAAACCAATTTGTGGCTTAGACACGTAAGTGATTGCATTTTATTTCTTATGTACTTTGCATTAATGTGATGAAACGTGTGTTACCTTGTCAGAGCTACAGAACAAGAGCTTGTTTTGTAGTAAGTATTTAAAGGTAAAAACAAGAAGTTATATTAACTAAACTCACATTTGAAAAAGTTATTTCTTTATTCTTATTCCCAAGAAATTGCATTTCCGGCTTTCATATCTGCTGTATTCCTCCAACTTCACTATTATTGGTTCATCCGGGAAATTTAGCTATATTTGAGCTGGATTTAATAACTTTAAGGAGCGATTAAATATGAGTCTCTGCAATCCTAGGTCATCTCCATATTCAAGACTCCAACCATAACATTTTTTGAGCAAAAGCTACGTGCCTCCATGTCTCCCGTTGGTTTTAGTACTCATACATAAACAAAGATCCTTAAAGAAATTAAATTGCTGAGAGAAACGAGCCATCTTCCACCAAAAGCAGCTTCCTTCAGCACCTGCTTGTGGTCCACACAAAGTTTTCTGGAAAAGCTCCTGTAATTACAACCAAGACCTTCAGGGCAGACTGGGAGAACTTGGAGCGTGGCCCAGTGATATGGCGCTAGACAGCAATGAAAGCGAGCTGTTGGGCATCCCTATGGTAATTCACTGCCCCTCTAGAGCCAGCAACATCCCCTGGCCATGGCTACCTGTCCGTGTGTGTATGCAGCTCCCTTCTCACCCAGATGCTGGTCTCCTTTAGTCTTCAGGCTCCACTCTAGTAAGAGCAGCAGCAAGGCCTGAGTTTCCTGTTTGAGCTTGGGAGGTAATAACATTGCTGCATGTGGATGTGGAAACCCAGAGGAGAGATCTCAGCTTGTCAGCAGCTGGTAGCTATTGATTTCCCAGCTCCTCACAGAGAAGGAGATAGCAGACAGCACTCACCAATGTCCAGTGTTTCTCCAATTCATGGACTTGCTGTCTTTTCAGATCATTGTCCCCTTCTACACATGCTTCTCTTTCAGTCCTTATCATGTCCTGTCACTTATGAGGAAGATCTGTGAGGCAGATACTTGCTGATAACAGGTTTTAAAATCCTTTTCCTTTCTTCTTTTAGATTTGGAATGACTACAAATTGCGATGGGATCCCAAAGAATACGATGGAATTGAATTTGTTCGGGTACCCGCAGATAAAATTTGGAAACCAGATATTGTCTTGTACAATAAGTATGATGAACAATTTTCCATTTTACCCTTTCACTAAAAAGTAGTATCTTGCAATATCCGTGAAAGACATTATTTTTCCTTCATGGTTCTTTTCTTTTCTTTTCCTCATTTGTCTTTCTAGTGCTGTGGGGGATTTTCAAGTTGAAGGCAAGACCAAGGCCCTCCTTCGCTATGACGGAATGATCACCTGGACCCCACCAGCTATTTTTAAAAGCTCCTGCCCTATGGATATTACCTTTTTCCCATTTGATCATCAGAACTGTTCACTGAAATTTGGCTCATGGACCTATGACAAAGCCAAAATTGATCTTCTGATCATTGGCTCCAAAGTAGACATGAATGACTTCTGGGAAAATAGTGAATGGGAAATAGTTGATGCTTCTGGCTACAAACATGACATCAAATACAACTGCTGTGAAGAGATCTACACAGACATAACATATTCTTTTTATATTCGAAGGCTGCCAATGTTTTACACCATAAACCTGATCATTCCCTGTCTCTTCATCTCATTCCTTACAGTGCTGGTTTTTTACCTGCCATCTGACTGTGGTGAGAAGGTGACTCTTTGCATCTCTGTGCTGCTTTCCTTGACTGTCTTTTTACTGGTGATCACAGAAACCATCCCATCCACCTCTTTAGTAATACCCCTCGTAGGTGAATATTTGCTCTTCACTATGATATTTGTGACCCTATCAATTGTCATCACCGTGTTTGTCCTGAATATACATTACAGAACTCCAACCACACACACAATGCCCAGATGGGTAAAAAACGTCTTTCTTAGCCTGCTCCCCAAAGTGTTGTTGATGCAGCGGCCTCTGGAACAGCAGAAAAAAAGCATCTCCAGAAAGACCAAGAAAGGATCAGCCAGTACCTCGGGCAAATCAAAGCACAGCAAACACAAAGATAGCAAACTACACAAGGAGCAGCAGTGCTGTCACTGTGATAAAGCGGCTGAACTCACTACCACCAAAAGAAGACGACTGAGCCACCAGTCGTTGAAGTGGATGGCAGAGTACACGGAGTACTCCCCAGAAGTGAAGGACGTCATTAGCAGCGTTCAGTTCATCGCAGAGAACATGAGGTCCCAAAATGAAACCAAAGAGGTAAGGGAGGTTGTCACCGAGGCGGGCACGAGGCCACACTTGCAGCATCCCACAAGAAAACAGCAAGCGAGGGCAGAAAATTGTGATGCAGGGAGACCAGCTCAAGGGTAGCAGAGTTGTGTCTAGAGAAGAAAATCTGGGGACCCGTGCATTGGTCAAAGTTTGCTACAGAAAGGGGAGGAGCCAAATAACCCACTGTGGATGGAACAAGAAAAAATATTTCAGCTGTTCCTCCTCTGTCTATGGTGGATAATTCAAGCACCAAGGCAGTTTTAGATTGGACGTGTGGACAACATTCGAGGTAAGAAGAGCCACTGCTGTAGGGGTCACAAGGAATGAGTTTTGATCCGCAGGGGTTCAGGAAGAGTTGATTTTGCCCTGGGGCAGGAGACAGATCAGGTGAGGTTTTTCAAAGAGCCTTCCAGCTCTACTTCTGTAATTCCTCAGAAGGAACTGCTCTTCTGGGGGTCGTGAACTCTGCAGCCCTGGTGAGCAGTGACACCTCTTTTCTGTGTTAGCAAGGGAACAAATACATTTGGGAACTGCTTTTTGAACAGCAAGGCTTGTCTAGCTGCACAGAGTTTTGTTTTGTTTTGTTTTTCTGGAAAAGAACTGTTCACAGCTAGTGGTATATTTGGTAGATATTGCTTTCAGAATGCTGTTGCCAACACTTAGGTTCAGTCTTTTCTTTTCTTTTCTTTTCTTTTCTTTCTTTTCTTTCTTTTCTTTTCTTTTCTTTCTTTTTCTTTCTTTTCTTTTCTTTCTTTTCTTTTTCTTTTCCTTTCCTTTCCTTTCCTTTCCTTTCCTTTCTCCTTTCCTTTCCTTTCCTTTCCTTTCCTTTCCTTTCCTTTCCTTTCCTTTCCTTTCCTTTCCTTTCCTTCCTTTCCTTTCCTTCCTTTCCTTTCCTTCTTTCCTTTCTTTTCCTTTCTTTCCTTTCTTTTCCTTTCTTTCCTTTCTTTCCTTCTTTTCTTTCTTTTCCTTTCTTTCCTTTCGTTTCCTTTCTTTTCCTTTCTTTTCTTTCTTTTCTTTTCTTTTCTTTTCTTTTCGTTTCTTTTCTTTTCTTTTCTTTCTTCTTTTCTTTCTTTCTTTTCTTGTTTTTTCTTTTCTTTTCTTTTCTTTTTTTCTCTTCTCTTTTCTTTTTCTCTTCTCTTTTCTTTTTCTCTTCTCTTCTCTTCTCTTCTCTTCTCTTCTCTCTCTCTCTTCTCTTCTCTTCTCTTCTCTTCTCTTCTCTTCTCTTCTCTTCTCTTCTCTTCTTCTTCTCTTCTCTTCTCTTCTCTTCTCTTCTCTTCTCTTCTCTTCTCTTCTCTTCTCTTCTCTCTCTTCGCTTCTCTTCTCTTCTCTTCTCTTCTCTTCTCTTCTCTTTCTTATGATTTGACTAATTGTGGCTTCAGCAATGTGGTATTTCCAGCCATGGCATGGCAACCACATTTTGAAATAAAAGTTTGGTTTTGGGGGAGGACAGTTGAATAAAAGCAGGCATCAGATGAATAAGGCCAGACCTAAATAAATAAATAAAAGGAGAGGGGATTTAAAAAGAAAAAATAGATTTGGCATTTGAACTAATGCATTAGCTTGTGTGAGGTTATAAATCTTTCATCCTGCCTGGGATTACTGTCATAGAAAGTGATGCACATTGGAATCTTAAGAATCCAGGGCCAATTCCTCAGGTGTAAACACGCAACTAAAAGCAGCTCCAAGAAAGACTGTCATGCACACACCCACCAAGGCCTCACAAGGAATAAAAATTCCCTGACACTTCAAGATGTTTTTTTGAAGAGCTTTGAACTGAAGGAAACATTTACCTTTGATCTGTCATTAAATTCTTGCATTTGCTTTTGAAGGTTTTAGATGCCATGTGAAGGCAAAATCCATTTCAAAATGAAATACTGCTGTTATTTCTGTCCTATAGAACAACGCTGACATTTTGTGAAAAAAATTATTCACACACATTCTTTCTATAAAAGTCTTTATTGGAAATCAGTACAAATTTATGCAACTTGAATGCAACCCCAAAAAAATCATTTTCCCCCTTGAAAAATGTCCAGAAGAGGTTTCATCTGAAAACGAAGTACATAACTTTGAATAATGTGCTGCTGTTGAGGACTGGTGACTGAATTCATGGGTGAGCCCAAAGCAAAAGACAGGAGTTGGTCAGCACAGAGGAAGGCAGTAACTGAACTGAGCTTTGCTTAGTGCCTATACCCTATACCCCAAATATTTTGCTAGACCCCAAAGTTTCAGCCCTGTTTTCAGTGCCACAGCAGCATAAAATATACCCATGCACTGTATTCAGCTGCTTTCTTTGATGCATTCCAAATAAGAGGAGACTTTGTGTGAAGGAGTCTAACTAACATGCCACTTCGATTGTACAGCTCCCGATAAGTCTTTCACTGCCGGTTATGCTGATTTGCATTTTGCAAACCTCTTCTGCCACATGCAATTGTACTCTTAGTCTGGCTTGTGCGTCAGCAGCTCTGTAGCTTACCTTTCAAAGCATGCTAAGGATCAGAAGCGGGATTATTAATATGGGAAAAATCCTCTTTTTGTTAAAAAAAGGGGGGTGAGGGGTGGTTGTTGTCAGGTAAGCACTGAGGAAGTGATTCTGCAGGCTGCTTCTGCTTCATCCAGAAACACAAAGCCATATGGGTGCTGTTGTGCACGTCCTGTACAAATAAAAGCCCTTTAAAAATTGTGACAACCTTTACAGCATCAGGAGTTCTTGCTGTGTTTTCTTTCACAAAAAGTAAAGCAGCAGCCTTTTGGAGGAAAACACCAAGAAGTTGGGAGAGTGGAAGACCCCTCAGCAGAGAACCCTTAACCACTTGCTAGTTTTGTATGAGTGAAGGCTCTTCTGAAGTGGTCCTCACACACAGGTACAGCTCAAAGGGCAGCAACTTCACCGAGTGCGGCTCTAGGGTGTCTCTCTCGGAGAGATACAAAAATCACTCTGGCTTGCGTAGCAGATGACACTGCTGTGCTCAGTCAGGGCGCTTGCTTTGCTGAAGTCCATTTGTCCCCTTTGACGAGTCATTTGAGACTAACTGGAGTGAGAGGGGGGCAAATCAGGCCAGAACAGTAAATTGTCTCTCGTGTGGGCCATCAGGCCACAGAGGATCCTCTGGCAAGATGTAGCTGTGGTGATTCAGCCTGCTGTGATATCAGCTCACTGTGCACCCACCAAGTGACCGGGTCCTATTTGCCATCTCAGTCACAGCCATGGCTTGCCAACACACCTGAAGACTTAGAAATAATCAGTAGGCTAGGACAGTGTTTGATGTTCTCAGCCAAAATTGGTAAATATGGATAGTAAATCAGCCCCTCTAAAGACACTGCAACAACTATAAACACCACAAGCAATGTTCTTGCCTGTATGCATGTCCTTCCCCATGTACAAAAGCAAAAGGGGCATTTCTAACAAATAATGTCAACTCAAAATTTTATATTACATGTAGTTTATCTTTTTTCCTTTTTTTTTCTTTTCTATTACAGGTGGAAGATGATTGGAAATACGTAGCTATGGTGATAGACAGAGTATTTCTCTGGGTATTTATAATCCTTTGTGTGTTTGGGACTGCCGGGCTCTTTATCCAGCCACTAATAGCAGATACATAACTTGATCTGGTGCATTTTATCCACTTTTGTTCTTACTTCACTTTCAGTCTGGAACCATCCCAAAATTTCCCTCCACTTACATCACTCCTGTGCTCAGCCCCTTCTCAGCACCCAGCCCCAGTGGGGAGGAGAGAAGCAAAGAGACCTTTGTGCAAGCACCAACCCAAAGCAGAATGAGAAAAGGGCTGGAAATGGGAAATGACCATGTGGTCTTGCTAAGGCAGAAAGGATGGGATTTTTGGAGTTTCTGCCTGTCTTTCTCAGTCAGATCAGCAAGAGTAATTGCACCGAGGACCACAGAAGCAGAGTGAAGTTTCTGAGTTTCTCCCTTGGCCTTGGTGCAGGGGGGCGTCAGGACAGCTCAGGCACTTCTGAGCGTATCACCCGAAGAGTAATGGCTCTGCCTGGTTTTGCTGCTCTCTCCTGATCACAACTCTTCCTCAGCACTGACTTAATTTGTGTTTCCTCTGTATTTCTTCCCTTGTACAACACCCAGCCTCCAGCATGGCGCTTAGATGAGATACCACAGCTGTACTGACTGCACAGATGCTCTTCATTGTGTCCTTGTGACAGGGCAGACAAAAATCCAAATAAAAGTACAATCAAATATGTGTTGTTGTAATATGTGCAGAGTTGATGCAGAGTAATGCATCCACATTTGAAATCTACATGTCACTAAGATTGTTGAAAACTAGTTCACCTGCTGCTTACCTTCGTAAGTGACCAAGGTCCCCTTTATTTCCTGGTTTTGAATATCAAATCCTGTGGTGAGGACCAGCAGGATTTCCTACAGCAGCCCAACAGTGGTCCCAGTCCACAGAGTCTGCTGTGAAAACTCGTGCTTGCTCAGGTTCAGACATAAGCCCTCTAGAGAAGCATTTGTCCCCTGGTAGCTACTCATCGCAGACAGTAATGGCTTAACAGCATTGGTTTGATCTGGATTTCTAAAACCCAGGACCAACTTGAATTATACACACCATATCAGGAGAAGGTTGTTTGTCATGAAACCTGTGCATAAATAGGCAATTTGGTCCAAGTGGCTCTGCAGCAGATTTCCCTTTGCCAGCTCCTCACGGGTCAGTCTCGTGTGGGTGATATGTTTTACAGCTCCAGGGACACTTCTCTGGGGCTGGGGTTTCTCCCGTGCAACCAGGTACCAGTCCCACTGCGCTTCAACCTAAAGTACTGTGTAGCTGTGCACCTGATGTGGTTCCTAAATTATGTGGACAATTTACCCTTAGGTCCCTTCTCTGTTTTGATCCCTGCTGGTTGTGCACAGGAGGATTCTTCTCTAAGAGGCACCATTCCCATCCAAGTCAATGGGACTGAAATGCACAGTGGAGGTAACGGTGCAATGACAGGAATATAACTGTCTCAGTCCAATGTTTGAAATATGTCAAGTCACTCTTTTCTAGAAGAAAAACATTTTTTTTTTCTGTGAACCCTCTGCATGTTGCACGATTATGTAGTGGCTGACAGATGTATGAACAACCACACTTTACTTTATTGGCCAGTCAATTAAATATCACTCCTGGAACATGCTCTCATGAAGAATTTGTATTTTTTTTTTAAAGCCCACTTCTGTACAATGTGTTTAGATGTGCTACCAAATTATCTTTGCTGTATTGATCCCTAATTAGCAAGGGGAGGAAGGGGAAAGAAAGGGGCTTTGAAGAGGAAAGCTGCATTCTGAGCGTGAAAGCTTCTTTCCTGCAGGAAAGACATCTGCCTTCCAGCATTCGCTGCTGCAACCTATGACCATACAGGCAATTAAAATAAGATGTGTGAACGTGAACTGCATTGATGTCTCAGGCATGGCAGCTTGCACCCCATAGCCAGCAAGCTGACCTTAGTGAAATCCCTGCCTTTTGGTCAAGGCGTAATCGCCCAGCTCCCCAACCCCTGTTAGGAGTCCCCCTAACACACCTGACTCCTTCCGTTGCCTCATCAGCTGAGCACTACACATTCACAAACTACTCAATGCTTATTACTACACCATCTGTGTACAATTTTATTTGACCAACCTTTGATTTCTCCTTTTCCTTTTGTTTTCCTTTCTTCTCTCATGACCAGAAGGCCTGTTATTTTTTGTTTGTTTGTTTGTTTTTACTGATTTTGCACTGTTTGTCTTGTTTTTCTTAGCTATCCTTATTTTGGGGCAGTGGGACCTTCTCCTTATCTGCTTAACATACTCCCCACTGGCATGCCACTGCTATGCCTGCACAACCACTTCTGAATATGCCAGGTTAGTGGAATTTTCCACTGCAAAAACACAACTTCATTTCTCGCACCTGACAGTGCTCACATCTGGGAATTTGCCTTTGAAAGCACTGTGAAAAGCGCTTTGAAAGCAGTGCTGAGTCCCCGCAAATCACCTTCTGTGTATCCAGATGTCACACTTGGAGGCAGCGATAAGGCAGAGGGTTGGGTTTGCTTTTAAGGTTTTAAATTTGGAATGTTGTCATGCACAGGCAGGAGCACAGGGAGCAGAAGGAGGGAACCCGTCAGAGGTTCCTGCCTGCCCAAACGTCCTCCCTGGTTGTATTTTTAGTGGGACACACTGAATGCATTTGTGGGCCAGAGAGAAAAATATTCAGGGAAGCTCAGAAACAATCAGAACAAGGAATAATGAACAGTGGAGCTACAAATGCAGCAGTCCCAGGGGCATGCTAGGAGGACCAGAGGACAAGCTCTTGCCCAGGAGAGGATGCCATGGCCAACAGGCAACCCCTTGGTGGCAATAATCAGAGGGAAACCCATCACTAACTGATGGCAGGAATCTATAATACAGGAAAGAAGAGTTTCCTGGCAGTTTTCCAATGGGTATTTCCCAGTACTGGCCAGGGGAACAAAGTGACCTGAACAATGCGAGGAGAGAAGAGCAGCTGCTAATAAACCCAATGTGTAAGATTTTTATGCCAGTGTCCATATTAAGACATCTCTCTGCATATGCTAAACCAAATGGGTTTGTCCTAGGTTCCTGCAATGTAATAACCAGCTCTGAATGCTTCCCCCTCAAACACACACACAAGTAAAATTCACAAGTGCTTTTCAAGAACGTGCAAAATCCTGTATTTGAATAGATTTGAGACAAGACTTTTCTGAAGTGGGCTGAAAGCTAGACTAGCAACACAAACAACAACAACAAGGAATAAGATCAGCATCAATATATAAGCATTCTCACCCCAGGAATCATTTACTGAACACAGCTTTATTAATGATGTTTGCACAGGTAAACAAGGCTTTCTGCAGTGGCAAAACAAGCTGGGATGATTTTAGCTCACAGAGGTCTGGTGAGCACATGTAATCCAAGCACGAGAACATCCTTGTATATTTTTAGCACCTTCTAACCTCCACCCTTAGAGAGAAAGTTTCAGGGACAGCTAAAGCTTTAGCAACAGACTCGCATTCATATTCTTGAGAAACAAATCTCCAAACCCCTTGTTAGCCTTGAAAACACCTGCAAGTTCTGAGAGGGATTTTCTAAAGGACTCTACGATGGCACAGCTCTGCCCCAGGGAAAGTGGTGAGAGCCTCACATGTGCATTTTCTGTCATGTCTTATTTACACTTTGGAGAGCTGTTTCTAATAAAGCAGAAAAATCCCTTTTAAATGCTTCAGAGGAATGAAATTCTGAACTGGCTGAGAAACATGGACAAGCCAACACCCAAAGATGTACCTTTCTGGTACCCTCCCAACCCCACAGCTCTCAGGAGAAACTCCTCTTCTGCACCAGCCACAAGCTTCATTTGCCACAAATGATCACACAGTGACAAAGATCCCCTCCAACAAAATTATTTAGGAAGATCACTGTTGCCATGTGGAGTAGCACGGTCACTTTCCTCTATGTGATATACTTCTGATGATCTGCCACTTCCAGTCCTGTGAACCTGCAGGTGCAGGAATCATAGTTTCCAAATGTGAAGCATGGGGAAAATCATTACTTGTTCAGCCTTTTGGAATATTAGAGAGCATCAGAAAAAAATGTGAATACTTAATACTTAAATTCCTTATGGACAAGAGGAGAGGTAAAGTGTGCATGATATAAAGACTGGTGGCAAGTGGGCAGAGCTGTAAGTTCTCCCAGGGTTGAGCTGATCCTGAAGCAAGGTAGGGCCACAGTGTCAAGGTCTTGAATATCCCATCTAAAAGGTATTTATAGTTTTTCTAACACACATGCTTTGTGATTGCCATTTCCAACATGTACAGGAGGCAATCCGTAGGGACTTTGTGGTTTTAACTTGGAAATGTAGATAGACTGAGTACTGACTAGTGTTCCTACAACAATTTTATGAAGTCATATTTTAACTGGAACAACTGCCTGCAAAGCATAGTTGTGCCAGAAGCACTATTTTCAATTCTAACTAATATTCTTGGCTCATGATTATAACATAACCAAGCTACTACTAAAATGCTTATAACCCAGTTCTGCAACACCGATTCACTTTAGTATCCAGCTGCTCACCAAGCCCTTCTCTGATCTCAGCCAAGACTGTAACCATTACAGCTGCACGAAGATAGAAAGCATCAGTCAGTGCCCGTTACCATCACCTTCTCTCTCTCTTGCCTTTGCTTCCCAGAGACCAATCCTCTACACCAGAGACCAAGCCCAAAGGCACCACCATCCCGTGGCATTGTGCCGGTATGCTAGCGTGGGAGCATTTTCTACAGAGCGTTGTTCAGCCACATCTGTAACGCAGGGGTAAAGATGAGAACTGAACCTGTCACTGACGCCACCAGAAACAACCACAGGAAGATCCGATCTAGGACTTGAGCTACAAATTTCCAGTCCTGGACAACCTGTGGAGGAGAGAGGGAGAAGAAACAGAAACAGCAATGAGCCTGGTACTTTGTTGTTACTGCTACACGTATTTCAGTTCCAAAAATCTGGCTTTTAAAACCAGAATTTTGTGGTGCTCCATAGCCTGAAGGCAACATGGATCTCCTTTTCATTACCCGTACCTGCCAGCCACTCAAACACCGAAGCATTTCTGTAGTATTAGCACACAATAATCAGACTTCTTTCAGGCTGTGCAAAAGCTTTTAGCTAAGTGCACAGATAAAAGCTTACAGGCTCAAGCTTGAAGATGGCTTTATAATGAATTAGGTTTCTTTTAACAGAACTGCATTTCCCTTGGCGAGCAAGGACTTGGCTGTAGCAAAGCACTTTGATTCGGATGTTGCTTCCAGGACAAGTGGTCCCGTTGGCTTGTGTTTGCTTAAGTGCTCTGCTGGCTCAGGCTGCGTGCATTCAGGAGGGAGACTCTGCACTGTGAGTACTGGCACAACCCCACATAAATGGAAGAGCTATTTATAAAAGCAATTCAGGGGAGGGCTGTTTTGGTTTTTTTTTTTTTTAATGATTTAAGCCTCAAAGAGAAGACGTTGGTCATGGACAAGATACGCTCACATACTGCATTTTTGATTTACTGTTAATCTCTCTGCCAAAGACATCAATACTGTTTGAACAAAGCCCTGGCTTTTGCTAGGAGGGTGCTAACAGGAGTTGTTCTCTGTTCATGTGCTGCTGGGTGCATTGCTTGGATGTCCTACACTTGCACCAGGTACAATGTTCATGCACACATTTTTCAGAAAAACCCAGGCAGGAATCCTTCCAGGACAGGTTGTTGTGGCCTCGTGTCTGGGAAAAGCAAGGATTCCCACAGCAACATACAGGTCTCCTCAAAGCAATGCATTTCCCCAGAAACTACGTGGGAAAGCTCCCAGGACATGCCGCAGAGGAATGCAGGAGAAAGAGGCAAGCAGAAAGGCATGCAGAAAAGAAAAGGCCTTGGAAGTCACGGCTCTCACGGGAGCTGTGACCCCTCGTTGCCCTCCCTTCACCTACCTGCCTGATGAAGTGCTCCTTTTTAACGTGCCTGGAAATGTACCGAATGGAATCGGCTGCCTTCTCCAGAAAGGCAATAACCATCTTCTCTCCATCTTTTGCTTGCCTGTGTTTCTGCTTCCCTGGCAGCTTTGATTTCAAGGTGGCTTCCTTCTCCTCAGTGTCCGAGAAGGAGTAACGATCCACGTGGCCCTTCATGCAGAGCAGCCGCGGCAGCTTCTGGAGGAAGAGCCTTTTAACCCAGGGAGCCATGGGGTGGTAGGTCGCCGAGGAGCGGTGGTGGACGTTGATAACAAAGACGGTGACAATGATGGAGAGGGTGACAAAAATCATGATGAAGAGCAGATACTCACCAATCAGAGGGATGACTTTGGAGGAAGAAGGGATTATTTCCTCAATCACTAAAAGGAAAACAGTGAGGGAGACCAGAACTGAAGTAGACAAGGAAAGCTTTTCTCCTTCATCTGAAGGCAGGTAAAATACCAGGACAGTTAGAAAAGACAGTCCCAGGCAAGGGATTATTAAGAAAAGAGTGTAAAAGAGTGGAAGGCGTCTCAGCACAAAGGAGTAAGTGACAAACGGGTAGGAGTACAGCCCATCCTTCCTGTTGCCTTTCATACCTTTGGCATTTAAGATCTCCCACTCCCCATTATCAAAGAAGTCTTTCCTGTCTACATTTTCGTCCACTAGAATCAAGTCCACCATGCTGCCGTCGTACGTCCAGGACCCAAACTTCATGGAGCAGTTCTGCCTGTCGAAGGGGAAGAAGGTCACATCCATTGTGCAGGAGCTCTTGTAACTGGCTGGGGGCGTCCAGGTCACCACTCCGTTGTACTTCACTATGGCTTTGGTCATCAGGGAGCCTTCAAAACGCCCGTCAGCACTGGGGAGGTGGACAGGAAGAAACAGCACCAAGTTCAGGACTGTGTTTGCCCCGGTCCTACCTCCTCACAGCTCCACACAAGGAAAGCCAACATGCAGATAAAGAACCATCTTTATAACAGCACATGCAAGCTCCATGGTAGCTGACAAGCCTTGCCCATGCTCTAGCCTAAGCCTGGAGCAAGCAGCACGCTACTCACTTTTCAAACAAAACAATGTCAGGAAGCCACAGAGACTCAGAGGGGACACGGATGGCGGTGATCCCACCATACTCCTCTGGATTCCAGGAGAGCTTGTGGTCGATCCATTCCTGCAAGGAGACAGAAGATTCCTCTGCCCACCCAGACCCAACTCCAACTACAATAGTGTATTGTACAGCACTATGGGCAGAGCTTGGCATAACACTGATCAGATGCAGGAAGGATGCTGTGCAGGCATGGCAGGGAGACATTAATCCTCATGAGCCACAGGTGGGCTCTATCAACACGTGCCTCTCCACACAGCCTCCAGGTGGGGACTCCTGGAGAGCACTGATGGTTTTCCCATGGATATTTCATGGCATTGGCCAGGGGAACTAAGCAACTTGAGCCCTTCTGTACTGCAAGGGGAGAAAAACAGCTGGTAATAAGGTCAAGTGTAAGATTTTATACTGGTGTCTGTGTTAAGACATTTATCTGTATCAGCTAGATTACATGGTCCCTTCCAACCATTTCATTGTTCATTCATCAAAAAAAAAAAAAAAAAAAAAAAACAAGCAATAATCTTTTAAAGCATTTGGTTACAATCTTGAAGAGATTTATTTTGCTGAAAAAAAAAAAAAAAAAAAAAAAAAAGTAAAAGCAAGGAGAGTCCTGATCATTTCCATCGTGCTGAACTCGTGTTTTGTTTTGTTTTGTTTCTCAGCTGGGAAGAGCCCAGCAAAGTGGCTCCAGCAACCTGGAGATTTGCACTGAAAATCAGCTCTCTGATTTCTGTCCATGATGGGGTTTTTCAGTTGCTCACTAGAACAGCAGCAAGGGGGAGTGAGAGCTGTAGGCTGTGGTCAATACCATGAAGCAGGGGATAAAACACTTTCCATTAAGCTCCAGCACTAAGAGCTTCCCAGGGATTTGGGGGCCTTCTCAGGGCAATTTCCTCTGAGAGTTAAGGACAAGCCAAAAAGCAGTATTCTCTGCTTCTCCTCCTTCCATACTTTTCCCCTCCCACTTCTTCAGCTCCACATGCCTTTTGCAGCCATACCCACATGTTATTGCAGCCCTTTGCAGCAACCCAGAGCCTCAGTGGAGATCTAGGTGTAGCGAGAGCAAGTTTTTATCTCCTCCAGGAGCAGGGAGGGGATGGGACCAAGGTCATGGGCATATGGTTGGTAGGGCCTTCCTAAAATTTGGCACAAAGCACAGGCCAAGGAGGCTGTTGCCCAGGGTGGTACCCTGGCAGGACAAATGGCCCTGCTACCTGCACCAGAAGAGATGAACCCACCACTCTCTGAGCTGCCCAAAAGGCTGGGGTCAGCTGTCAGGCTCAGCCCTCCATCCCGAGTCCTCCTGCTGCTGAAGGAGGGGTGGGAGCTGTTCAGGTGTGGAAATAGAGGAGAGGGCCTTCAGTGCTCTTACCCTCAGCAGCAGGGACCGCTTTTAGCATTGATTTTCCCCTTTTCATGAGGATTTGCAGATGTTACCAGCAGCCTGTGCTGTCAGATGGGCACAGATTCACGTGTACACTGGCCACCTCCTGCAATACGTGCAAGGGGGCCTGGGCTGGAAATACGCCTGCTGTGCAAGGGGGTAGCCAGGGCTGGCAGCAGTGGCCACGGCAGCTAGCTTACAGCAGAGGCAAACACCCTGTGAGCCACCTGGAAACAATCATCCCTCTGGAGTCAAACAGGAGCTGCCCCTTGGCCTGGGTTATCTGTACATCTGCAGCCCTCCTCCCTCCCCCCCATGCCCTGCATTGATTTGTCTCCAAGCTAAAGTGCTCTTTCATGTCTGCAAGGCAGATGGTTGCGTGTCTCCTTACTAGAGCAGAAAATAGACTGCGTGCAGACTTTGAAGCTGAACAGTTTAAAATGGGTATCTCCCCACGGGCTATGCTGACATGAACTGTAGCACCAGATGCAAAAGGGCTTTTTCCTCTCCTCCCCCTGCCTTCCAAACTGCTCCAGATCCTCCACTGCTCTCTGCTTCCACCAGCTTTGCCTAACTCCAGCTCCTGGGCTGTCACACAGGCACTTAGCCACAGCAAACAGATCAAGAAACACTGGACCCAGACTCTTGACTCTTGCTATTACTTTCTACAATCTGATACATCCCAGCAGCTACTAAAAGCTCCTTTGTACTCTTTATGTCTGCCTCGATGCACAGCATCAGGTTCCACCATCTTCAGAAGCTGTTTTTTTGGGGGGAAAAAAAAAAAAAAAAGCCAAACTCATGCAGAGAAATGATGACTGGGATTCCCTCACCACCTCACACCTAAAGTGAGGAGCAGACTTCCCTGAGCTCCCTACCCCTGCAGAACCAGAAGCTCTGAGTCATTAGAAAGTTCCAGTTTGTTTGAGTGTTCTTTCACTTTTCCCAACCCAAAAGAGAAAAATAATTCCGCTTAGCTTAAGGCATCTCTTCCCAGCTGCTATTTTTGCACTTTCTAATAATCCCCGGAGCACTGGGTTGCATGTGGAAACAGTTCACACTAAGTCTGCAGGAAGGCACAGCTCCCAGAAGAGGACACCCGGGTCAGGCCACAGGTATGTAGGGCTCAGCCTGTTATCCGGGGGGCACCTGCATGTGTGAAAGCCAGTGTCCATGTCTCACTTATTTTCTGCTCCCTTTGCCTTTCATTGGGCCTCGATGGGGTACTGCTTCTCCATCGCTGAGGGAGATTGCCATCTTTGTGTGTACAGCACCTGGGCTCCTGCGCTGCCCCAAAACTTGCACTCACTGCAGGGGTACAGGCACCAGGCTGAGGACACAAACTCAGCTGCACTTCTCCTCCACCAGCCCAGCAGCCTGGGAACTGTTCCCCAGGCATCATTTTGAGTTTATGGGTTTTATGTCCTCTCCCTAGGATCAGCTGACACATTTATAGGGCTTATATGTCTGAGAGACTTAAAATAATTGTCACAAGGTCAATAAACTGGTGCCCTGTAATCCAAACCAAACTCATGTCTGAGACAAGATAGTCCCTCAGGGCACGGGCAGCATCCCGTGGACAGTGACTGCTGTACCAGGAGATGTTTCTTCCCTGAAAATCAGCTGGTTTGAGCCCGCAGCTGGGGTGCAGGCCACTGAAAGAGGGTACCCCATTTCCTGAAGGCTCACTGCCTGCCTCCGTGCCCCTTTAATCACTTGCTGAAGGGAGAGGAGAACTCAAGGCAGGGTTATGGGGCTCTGTACTTGTCATGGACAGCGTGGTAGGCTGGGGTGGCCCTCATCCTCATGCAGCCCTGCAGCCAAGGGTGGGAGGCCTGCCGTGGTCTGATTTACCTGCTTCAGCCACACGTTGGTTGTCATCAGCTGATTCTTCTCATCCTAGGGCAACAGAAGGTAGAGAGGACAGCAATATCAAAGGAGAAATGTCCCATATCCACGATGTCTCAGCCCCCTATGGAGGAGGGTGCTGAGGAGGTGCGAGGCAGCAGGGCTTGGACAGTGAGAGGGGCCAGGCTGGCGTCCCAGCAGCATTTGGGCAGGCAGGAGCCAAAATGTGATCCTGCACAGGCAAATAAAGCCTGAAAGGAGAGGGCAGAGGATGTGGACAGCAGCCTGGGGCTGCCTGGGTCACCCACAGGGTGATAGGATTTGTCCTGGATAGGCCTTGCCTGGAGCGAGCAATGCCCAGCCAACCCCACAGTTCCTCACCCCCGTCCTACACCTCATTAGCTTGAGGGTGTAGGCACCAGGGACAGACTTTGAGGAACATCTGATGCAAGGAGGCCTTAGTCACGGGGAGCAGTGGTCAGGAAAGGAAGGGCCTTCAGCTTCACTGCGAATAAAACAAGTCCTGGGGTTCCCATCCCTACCCCCTCCATGACACGAGGCAACCAGCCCACTGGGCCTCCCCAGAAGAAGCGAGGCTTTCTCAAGCCCACCACAACACTTACCACATCCACGAGCTGCGATATCTTTAGCCCAAAGAGGACTTTGATGGTGTCGTTGGAGTTTTGCACGGGGCGGACCCATTTCTGATAGCCGTGAAATAAGTGCCTGAGGAGCGCGTCCTCATTCTCAGCCACCGAAATGAAGGCAGACACACCTGGAAGAAAGAGGGGACATCTTGGAGACGGGACACGGGCCCTTAGCAGAGCCAGGGGGCAAGGGCAAACAGAGCTGTGAGGAGTTTGCACCAGGTTTATGTTTTCTGTGGTGTTTTGCCATGAGTTGGCATGCCTTCCCAGTCCTGTTTGCTATTCCTTAGGAGATCCTCAGGCTAAGAGCATCAGGTGCCCTCATTCACTCTTCAGTAGTAAAAACAGAGCCTGATTAATGCTACCCCTATATTTTTTTCCTGATACCTGCAGTATAGCAGAGCCAGGGAGCCACAGGGGAAAGCTGGTCACTGTGGGGACATTCCTGGCTTGTAGCTAGGAACAGCAGCAATAACCTGTGGGCATTTCAGAGCTGTGGGGCTTCGTTTGCACTTGCTCGGGAGCCCAGATGTTTTCAGCAGAACCCAGTGCCAGGGTAAGAGGCAATGAGCATAAACCCCTCCTGGGGTTAGCCAAGGGACAGCAGAAAATTACTGAAAGAGATGAGTTTGCCCAGCTGTGGGGTGGAAGGCAGCAGCACCAGGGGATAGCAGCAAAAGGAGCTGGGTGACACATGTAGGGCCAGGCCTGCCCACCTCACTTCACAGTCCCCACGGGGGAAAAAGGAGCTGCCACCAGCCACAGGGGACCTTGCACGTCCCTGCCCTGCTCCCACCTCGCTCCCCACCACCAGTGCCCTGCCAGTCCCACCAGGAGCAAGGACCCTGTGCTCCCATCGCCATCCTGCAGGCACTGGGATTTCGGCTTCTTCCCAGTTGAGGGGGAGCACAAGAGAGCCCTGCAGGGGGTGCAGCTGAAGGGCCAAAACACAGCGAGCAGCAAGCACCAGAGGTGGAGCAGCCCTAAGGGGAACAAGGCCTGTGGCCCCTCCAGAGGGACAGCCAGAGGCAAGTGCTCCTGAGAAGCACCAAGGAGAAGGAAGGCAGAAGGAACAAGATCAGTGCTCTTATAAGACAGCCTCTGTACTTGCAGGGTGATGGTTTAAAAGCAGAAGTTTTTAATGGGAAGGAAAATTTATCAGGGTAAAAAATAGCCTAGCAGCTCCTTTGATCATACTTCGTCTGGTGATTAAGTTAAATAAAGCCACAGAGCAAACACTGAACCGAGCAGTTTTGCCTTTGGAAAAACAGACACAGACTGCAGGCCAGATGTATCCCTGAATTTATCACATTAAGTATAGAGAGGGTAAAAGTTTTGGAGCTCCCTGGCAGGTTGCCATGAGCACTAAAAAAAAAAAAAGGAAAGAAAAAAAAAGCACCATTGCCACAAGTCCCCTTTCTCACCGCCATGCATGCCAGGAGCAGCTCCCCTCAAATGCAGGAACAGGGAGGGCTGGATAGGACTCTGCCAATACAAACATGCAAGCCCCTTGAGGAATGCTGTCAGGACACTTAGGACTCCATGGTCTCACCTGGGGCATTTAAGCATTACTCCCGATGATGGAGATCTGCCCCTAAACCTGCTCCAGCAGTGAGAGCTGAGCTTTGGTTCTTTGGTTAACTTCCCAGTGACCACCCTGTCACACCATAAATCTTAAAACCCCATTGCCAAACTGGCTGAGGCTGCAGTGCAAAGTCAGCAGCTGGTACAGCCCTCTCTTGCTAGCCTGGCAGCACTGAGAAGGGGATCAGGAGAAACTGGCGTCTGCCTCATCACAGCAAGCAGCAGCTAATGGGCTGGAAGAAAAAAAAAATCTTGAAAATCTGCATTTTGTCTTGGAAGAATAAAGAAAAAAAAAATCACACTTACCTGAGTGGGTCAAACACAGCGCACAGAGCATCAGGCAAAGCATGGGCACCACCGTGGCTTTTCCTTTAAGTATGGTCCTTTGTTTTCATAGGCAAATCAGTCTCATCCTAGTCGGGGGCTAAAACAATCTGGTTAAAACCCACGGCGGACAATTGAGCCCGCAAGGCAAGCGGGCACCTTTTGAGCTTCATCTTGCATCATTATGACGCTCCGTAAAGCACACTTCATTGATTTTCGGTCAGCTGTCACGTCCCGTAAGCCTGAAACGGGTCTCTGGGTCCTAAGCTCTGACTGATGTGTTTGGGGCAGTATTTGGGTGGCTACAGCCCCTGGCGTCTAGGAGTAGAAGCTAGGCAAGGTTTTCAAGGAGGAGAAAAGCATTTTGTTACACTGCCAGTTACAGCTGGGGGAAAAATACAACCAAAACCAGGCTACGGATCAGCCCCAAAGACAGATCACATGCCTGAAAGATTGTTTGCTCCAGCTGTATCTGCTGATCTGATAAAACAGGCAAAATCCCTAAAGACCTATCCTAGCTTATTCATTTTTCCAATTATAATTTTAATACAGTTTTACAGCTTAAAAAGTAGATTTTAGGGGGAAGGGGACAGCACAGAAACACTTTCAGCTGAAGGGCACATGAGTGTGTGTCCACACGTGATGTGTGTGGCAAAGGCAGCGACACCTTGGGCTGAATTTCCTCCGGGAGCCACAAATCTCCAATATCGGATGGGATGCGGGCTCTTCTCCCCCTGCCCCCAGTCACTTCTCCACCAAGGGTATCAGGATCTTCAGCCGCACAAAAGCTCTGGTTTTCTTCCCAAAGTAAAGTCACCGCACCATCTCTGCCTACAGAGGAGCTTTTTCCCTGACATTTTCAAGTTCAAGGGAGAGTGTTGCAAACTTCATTCAGTCTGCACCCAGACATAAATCTCTGCTTTGATTCTCCCTCTCGCTGTGCTGGCACAGTTTCCCTACATGCCTGCCACAAACAAAACCGAGGCTGTTATATCCTTAGAGATTATCCTCATGCTCTAGCACATATTTGAAACCTAGAGGAACTTTTGCTTGCTGCTTTTTATATGGGAAGCCTGCTATTTCAGCAGCACCCAGGCCCGGATTTTGGTACTGTCATAAGTTATTCGATTCAGATTTGCCTCAGCTGAGGTCCTCACAGAGGACTGATAACAGGCAGCTGTAGCCTTATCAGATTATTCGGCTTTCTCTGATGAAAAAGATGTCATGCCAGTGTGGTTCAAAGTCACGTTGCCGCCAGCAGCAACTTCTCGTGTCTCGCCACCTGACTTGTGATGCCAGGGGCTTGCCTCTGACCCTGCGGCAGCTTGGTGGCTTTGCCTTTCCACCTTCACAGTGCTCAGGGGAAACCTGTAAGCACTGTGTTAGCACCATGGCTTTGCTGGTTTTGCCTTGTGGGGCTGGGGGAGCAGCTGCTATCCTGGCTGCCTTTCCTCACCCTGAATGCAGAAAGCGTCCCAACAACAGCAGCACTATTGAGGGACTCTGTCCTGAGCAGCTTGTTCTGTTGTCCCTGTTGCTGTTTCCAGCAGACTGCTCAGCCTAGTAGTGAGACCCAGACCCGCTGCAAGCCCGCTGCTGAGGTGTGTTCATCTGGCCACAGCACACTGCAAGGATGCATCTTCTCACGCTGACTTAAGGGAACAGAGGGTGTTCGGCTGGAAGGGGGCAGGCAGACAACACCAAAACCCACCCTAACGTTGAGAATGTGCAAAATGTTTTCATCCTGCCCAGTGCAACTCTTTGTATGACAAAACTCTCCCTTAGGAACTTACTGTGCAGGCTGCCCAGTGCAAGAGGGTCCATCTCACCAAGGGGGCAGCGAAGCGTGGGAGGCAGCCCCCCGCAGGCGACGGGGTGAATTCGGTAAATTCGGGGTGAAACTCGCACCATCAGCTTTCAGCACCTGCCTTTGCTCTCGGAGGATCGCTGTGTGACAGCAGGTCCCCCCCGAGGGTTCACGATGCCCTCCCCTGCTGCTCGCCATCCTCCTCCTCCTCCCTTTCCCCCCAGGGCACCGCTCCGCAGCATCCCCGCTTCTCCCCCGCGGCGCCCCCTCACCGCCGCCGCTTTCCTCCTTATTTTTGGGAAAATAATTTCCTTTCCCCTCTCCCTGCCCGTTCCCCTCCCGTTCAGGCGTTTTCCTGCCTCCCTCCCGTGCGGCCGCAGCTCCGCTCCCCGGCAGGAGGAGGCAGCGCAGTCGCCGGGCGCAGGTCCCGGGGGGTCCCCAGGGGTCCCGAGGGGTTTTGGGGATCCCAGAGGGGTCGTGGCTCGGCTGCCCGGCCCCACTGCGTGCTGTGGGATCCGCTGTGCAAATCCCCGTGTACTGTGAGCCCGTGCCGGGGGCCACCAGCACGGCACCCCCCTCCCCTCTCCAGCTCCACCAGGCTGTGCGGGTGCAGGATGAGGTTTTATGTAAGGTGTTTCAGTCCCAGGTCTCCTCAGCGCTTCCCTGCCGTGGCTAGCTGCCTGCTGCCTCCCGTCCCGCTCCCACCACGTGCAGGTGGATGTGGAAGTGCGAAGGCTGCGATGCCCCGTGCCTGTGCACGGTGTACAGCCCGCACAGCCGGCCTCTGCCCGCGTCCCGCGCAGAGCCTTCCACCGTCCCGCTGGGGCTGGACACGCGGAGGGACATCGAGGAGCTCCAGGAGGCTGGTGGGCTCCTCACCACTGCACGCACATCAACGTTTCTTATAGATGGCCCTTTGCCTCCTGCCTTAGTCGCTTTGCTTTCGTTTCTCATCTCCAGGCGTACAGTGAGGCCTCGTTCGGGGCAGGGCACCGCATCTTGGGGCTTTGGGGACAATTCCTGCATGGCGGTGATGCTGCGTATCTCTGACACGTGGTACTTTTCACAGCTGTTTGTTCTGAGCTGGTAGCTGTAAACCAAGACCTGGCCCTGCTCTGCTGTTTTCGCAGCTTGTCTCTCCGTTTTATCCAGCTCCTCCGGTCTTTGATGCTCTCTCCTTGCAGCCCAAGGGTTATCCGCAGCATCCTGGACTTGCTGTTCAGCTGTCAAGGCTGGGAAGACTTCACAGGCAGGTAAACTGTTACCTAGGACCAGAACACTGCTTGGCATGGGAGAAAACGCTGGCTTGCAGACAACTGCTCTGGGAATAACAACAGTGCCGGGGTCATGTGTGTCCCCGCACGGAGCTGTCGGCCCCTCGTGTCCCGTGGACGTTCCCGATGCCTGGGAGCCCTCACCAAGGAGCATGTAGCACTCCAAGGCTCCAGACGCTCCAGGGAGAGACACCACCCTCTCTTCTTCTGTCTTCGTCTGATCTAATGCCAGCGTTTCATCCCCAAAACAATCATAAAACCCAAGGGGCAACTCCTGCCGCGTCCGGTAGCCTCGGTAAGCTGCCTGAATCTTGACAGCAGCTTTGTGCATTTCATCCAGCTCTCTCCGGACTCGGTAGCCTCGCCATGCAGCCTGAATGATGGTAGCCTGCTGAGCCTGTTTTTGGAGCTGCTGCCATGCGGTGCTTTGCTGTGTCTGGTGGGGCAGGCTGGGAGGTTCTCCTGAAGATACCACACTGAAATAAGATACTTGGTCAGAAATTACGATGTTCTGCCTGAGGTGATGGTGGCTAGGTCCACGGGCTCTGCTCCCGCCTGCATCTGAGGGCCCTTGCTTGTCATGATCTTCTCCTGGGCTAACAGAGATGATTGCTTTGAAGATCCACATATGCACACAAGATTCACACGAGGATTCCTCTTTTTAGCTTTAGAGGTGTTATTTTGATACAGTCAGAAGGTAATTCCCTGATTGCCTAAAAGATGAAACTGCAACATATCATCTAGAAATGCTGGAATTGCTAGGAGGGTCGTTTTCCTCAGTCTCTTGCTATATTACACTACTGGATGTTGTTTTTCTGGTGCTTGTGGCTTTCTTCTTGTTGTTTCATTAAAAAGACATACAATTGCTGTTGTGCATTTTCCTCTCTTGCTCCATGCTTCTTGCTACCTGTTTGAATTACAAAAAGATCCTTATTTCCATGGTTCACAAGGTCTCTATCACATGCATTTTCAGCACGTGTATTAGAATTTGCATTTACATCCAAAAAAAAGATACATATTCTATCTCATTTGCAAGCACACAATAGCCTTATCAAATTGTGTTTCATGAACATGGTCCTCAGAGTCAAATTTTTGTACATGATGGGTTGCTCTACCATCCAGAGTTTCAATAAAACATTTTATGTTCTCTCTCTCTCTCTCTTTTTTTTTTTTTTTAATATATATTTAAAGGTACTATTTTAATAGAAAATGCAACAAAACACCTCAGTACCAAACATTTCAGCCACATTCAGTCTCTCAAAACTCAGGGGCTGAGAAATACAGCTCCTCAACATGTGCCATGGAGCTGCCAGACAGATGTCTGTGTCTTCACCATTAGGGGCAGGGCAGGGCAGGGCAGGGCAAGGCAGGGAAGGGCAGGGCAGGGCAGGGCAGGGCAGGGCAGGGCAGGGCAGGGCAGGGCAGGGCAGGGAAGGGCAGGGAAGGGCAGGGAAGGGCAGGGAAGGGAAGGGCAGGGAAGGGAAGGGCAGGGCAGGGAAGGGAAGGGCAGGGAAGGGAAGGGCAGGGAAGGGAAGGGCAGGGAAGGGCAGGGAAGGGCAGGGAAGGGCAGGGAAGGGAAGGGAAGGGAAGGGAAGGGAAGGGAAGGGAAGGGAAGGGAAGGGAAGGGAAGGAAGGGAAGGGAAGGGAAGGGAAGGGAAGGGAAGGGAAGGGAAGGGAAGGGAAGGGAAGGGAAGGGAAGGGAAGGGAAGGGAAGGGAAGGGAAGGGAAGGGAAGGGAAGGGAAGGGAAGGGAAGGGAAGGGAAGGGAAGGGAAGGGAAGGGATGGGAAGAGTCCTTTCTTAGGTGCAAAGGTGAGCACTCTCTGGCTGATTCAGATCACTCTGACCATTTCCTTCACCTTGAGGGCTCTTAGAAGCCTTCACATGCCAACCACTCATCAGCAGCAAACCTATTTCTCATGACCCCTGACATGAGAAGAAGCTCTTCTGAAGAGCTGCAAAGGGAAAGCAAGCCTGCCCTACCTAGAAACACTCCATCTCCAAAAGGTGGCCAGGCACACTTAAGTTAGGATCCAGGCCATTTAGCCCCCCTATGAGCAAGACACCTGATGTTTGAGATCTTTTGCATGGTATCTGACGGTTTCAGCTCTCATCCAGGAAGAAAAAGGTCTGGACTCTAGGTTGACCCCGCCTGGACTCACATTTTGTAGGCCACAGCACACCAAGAGCAAAGTTCTCCTACTTGTTGCAGCTCAGCTACTTTACAGTCAAAAATCTTAGAAAGTGGGAATTTCCTCATAGCAGTCAGGACTCCCACATGAAAGGGGACAGGTCCTATAAAGTGCATGCGTTTCTGATTGAATCACCCCTGGTTAAAGAGGAGAAACTCTTTTGGTAGCACCCAAACAGCAGACAAGGCCTCATCTCTGTCACAGCGGTTACCCCAAACCAGGACCACAGAGTCAGCATGTCCCTGGGAAACAGTGCTGGGGGAGTTTGTGAGCGGTTCTGCCTTTAATACCTCCCTTTGACCTCCTTCTGTCCTCCCCAGGTCCCATCACAGCAGGGCTCGCTTCAGCCCAATGCAATTCTGAAGCCTACCTGATGGTTTGAAAGGGGCTGTGAGACTTTTTCCTTGCTGTGTTGAGTCCATATGAGATGGATTAATGTCAAACAATTTATAAGGAATAATATTTATTCTTTCCAGCAATTTCTTAAGGTTAAATGGAAACGCTTACAGGTAAGACCCAAAGATATAAGATACACAGGATCATCATTTTGAACAGCTGCGTCATATTTTGGGCTTGCATTTTATCTGGTTCAGGCACAGACACCGTCAGGTTTCTAACTGAGAATGTTAAATGCAGATCCTGAAGCCAGTTTTCTTACAGAGTAATGTCTAGGGTTTCCTACCTGTGCTAATTCACCGCACAAAGCTGTTAATCCCAGTTCAAAAGGAGACGTCCCCATGTGCCTGAAATTCAGCACTGTCTACAGCAAGGCGTTTGCTCTTTACATTAGAGTTTTTCCCAGTCATGCTCATGAATATTTACAAACAAAAGCCAGTTAGATCCCTGAGTGGCACATCTGAAAAGCCAAATTTTCAATTTTA